TTTGACGCGTAAAATTGATGATCGTGTTAACACAATCGTTTTTCTTTCGGTGAGCGGTAAAAAAATGGAATTGAATCATTTCATCATAAAAATGAAAGATCCACTAATCTCCATTCAATGCAGAAATTATTTGAATAAAATCAAAATGCACACATTGAAAAAAGCTTTCTGCTTTCATCATAAGATATCTCGAGATCTGCCGTGAGACATTAAAAAATTTGCAAACTTCACATTTCTTGTTATTATATTACTTTGTTTTAAAGTTGTCAATTTGAACGTCTGTAACAGTCTCAAATAGATGACAAAATGCATCTCAATAAAAATGAACCATCCGACAATGCCATAAATCGCTATTGCCTTTCAAAACGTAAGATCTCGCTGATCTCCGGATTTCTTGATCGTTGATCATTAAAAAGCCGTACTGAATATTGCTTGATTTCTTAATAATCCACAAATCAGATGAATGTTCCTTCATGTAGAAAACGACTCTTCCTTCCTTCAAAATTGTGTTGCGATTTATATTGAAATCATATCCTGCTTGTTTAAACTTTCGAATGCTGAAGATATTTGTATGCAGACCTGGAATGTAAGCAATGTTAATAAAAATAATCTTTTTATCGTCTTTCTCGTCTCTGCAGTTTGGCCGTATTTTCACATTTCTAATATCTAAGATTTGGATGGTTGAATCCCCTGCATGGAGTTGTCCATTTCTTGAATAATCAATATTTTCAAAATGCGAGATCTCATTACAAACATGTGTAAAGGATCCGGTATCGATAATAAAGCAATTTCTGAACAGAAAATCATTCAAAACATTAAATGCAAACGACATGACATAATGATCTTGATACTTTTTTTCTGTTTTCTTCCAATTCTTCTTAATAATCAATTTGACCCGTTGAGATCGTAGATCTGATCTTGAAGCGAAATTTTTAATATCTTTTATAATCTTTTTATCGGATTTCCAATCTCTCGATCGAGTGTTGAAATAAAAATACAAGTAGTCTCTATATTGATGACTTTTTTCACGCGGATAAGATAGAAATTCTTTTTTTTTATGATCCTGCAATTTCTACGTGTTTGATGTTGAATCGCTCTAATCGTTGAAAGTGACATATAGATGATTTGAAGCTGTTGAATCGTTTCTACCGCTGTTAACAAGATGAGATTGAAAGTCGCTTAGCAAATCAATAAATGACATCTTTCTGATTTTCGCATAATTTTGACTCGCGTATATAGCATTCACAGTTTCAATCGACCTTAGGAAGTCTCACTGTATATAATGATCCTGATTTTCAGACATATCGAATCGTTTGATCATTAAATAAATGTGTTCGAATTCTTGAATCCATGCGTTGATTTTGCTTTGTCATGAAGATTTCTTGATGACTGTCTTATATTGTTTCAAAGTCTTATCTTCTAATTTCTCCGTTGTTGATTTATATTGCTGTTTTAACGCCTTCAGTATTTCGAAACGTCTCTTTTTTTCGACAAACGATTGAACATGTATAACAATTGACAATCTAATTGCTTCTTCAATCTTTGCGATGTTGTTTTTCGAATCTTTATAGTCCTGAAAATCTAATTGAAATCTCCAATAATTCGACTCAATGAGATCTTGAAATCTCGTAGACTTCATAGATGTCGAAAAATAATCATCTTCTTTCGGGTTGAAATAATCCCATATATCTAGCCGTTCAGCATATTCTTCAATATTGAAAATCCAATTGCGCCAGTCATCTCGTCTTTTCAGGATGACTTTAACCTTCGTGGCACTTTCAATATCGAATGATGAAGTCATATTATCAAATTCAAATGTATTGTCTTGCTTCCTGATGTCCCATCGAGATTGCTGTACTGTATTGCTCAAAACGGATTCTGTTTAGCTTCAAAAATGACCAAAGCGATAATCCCTAGAACGATTCCGGGCTCATAACTATGACAGTTTGGAGGGCTTGGCAGGAATAACTAAAGCACTGAATTACGTGATCTCCACGGATTCGATTGAAGGTCTTGATATTCTAACTATGCGATATAGCTCGTATTTATGCAATCTCTGGAGCTTCAAAATGATGATCAATCAACTCAACAGGAAGAAGCAATTATGTTGAATAATTGACTGGTCGATTATTTCGGCTGAGCAAGGCGATGAAATGCCGGCTTAGTCAACTCCCGCGGCCACAATGTAGTACCGTACTTGATCACCTGACGCACGCCCCCACCTGACGCACGAAAATCGATTCTACACCGATATTTTGAATATCTTTAAACCTCAATATCATCATCAATATGGCTCCTATTGACGAGACGATTGCAGAATTAAATTCTCTGAAGCTTGAAAATAGATCTATTCTTATTTTTATTGCAAAAAAGTATGGAATTCATAGATCAACACTATCAAAAAGATTTCGCAGCATTCAGCATTTCAAAGATGAGCAATATCAGAACCAACGATTGCTTAATAATCGACAAGTGAAAATACTTATTTCTAATATCAATCGATTGAGCAAAAAAGGCCTTTATATATCATTTGAAATGCTGCAAAATCTAGCTCACGAGATCTCTAATAATCGTCCCGGAAAATAATGGCCGAGCCGCTTTATAAAACGATATAGTGATAATCTTATTTCTCGCTATATAACTAAGATCGACTTCTTTCGAAAAAAGACTGATTCTGTGTTAAATTACGCATTATATTTTGAACTTTTGACTCGCAAGATTTCGAAATACGATATACAGCAGGAAGATATCTATAATATGAACGAAAAAGGCTTCTTGATCAGAATACTTAGTAAAGCGAAGAGAATCTTCTTTAAATCATTATACAAGAAGAATGGAATGAAACAACAGCTTCAGAATAGAAATCGAAAATGGATTACAACGCTTGCCTGTATTTGCGCGAATAGAATCTCGCTATCTCCAGATCTTATATATCAAACAGCCTCTTCAAAGCTTCAAGATTCCTGGCTGCAGGATTTTGATCCTTCTTTTCATCCTTACTTCTTTACATTCTCACCTTCAGGATGGACGAATGACAAGCTAAAATACGCATGACTACAAAATGTATTCGATCGAAAGACAAAAGCGAAAGCGAGACGGCGTTGAAAGCTTCTTATTCTTGACAGCCACGGATCTCATATTAATATGAAATTTTTCGAATACTGCGAGACAAATAAGATTCTCTTAATGACTTATCTGTTTCATTTTACGCATTCGCTTCAGCCACTTGACGTTGGAATCTTCGGGCCTTTTTTTACAGCGTATAGAGAAAGATTGGAACAATTTTTTCATGAATCTTAAGATCTTTGTCATATTACGAAAAGAGATTTCTTTCGTCTCTTTTGGCCGTCATGAGAGAGCGCTTTATCTAATGAAAATATCGCTTCTTCGTGAAAATCGGTAGGCGTTTGACTGTTGAATCCTGATATCGTCTTATCGCGATTTAATCGGAATAACAATAATTGACTATTCTTTAGTGAGTCATCTCGCTCAGTGCTTGGTGCAGAGAATTAGAGGAAGATTGAGAGACTTCTTAAGCATGCAATTGTTGACTTATATGATCAAAAGACAAAAAAGTTGAGTTTGACAATGCATCATCTCTCTACAGAGAATGTCATCTTAAAATTACACTGTCAGGGCCTTGAAGAGGCCCTTTTTCAAGAGAAAAAGAAACGTCAGCGAGACAAACCTCTTTTATCTGAATTACAGGCTCCTGAGAACGGCTATGCGGTGTTTTATTCTCCTAAAAAGATTCAGCAAGCTCGTGACCTTCAAACAGAAAGAGATGAGGCTGTACAGCTCGCTAAAATTTCAAAAGAAGAGAAAAGGCTTCGTAAGTAGCGAGAGAAGCAAAATCAAAGGCTTTTAATTGAAGAGTGTAAACGAGTCCGCGCTTCAAATCGAGAAACGCGGGTTCGTGAGGCAGAGGCAAGAAAACAGAAAAAGCGGGATGATCAGCTCGCTAAGCAAGTTGATATACAACTTCAAAATGACTTCAATATCGCTCAGACAGGCGAGAATAAGGTCTCTGTAACTCCAAAGACAAAGAAATCGAGTGATAGAGCTGCTGCAGAACCTAAGATTGTTAATGAAGTCCCTCCAACGCTCAATCGCCGCGGTAAACAGATCCGCCTGCCTGAGCGCTTTCGGCAGTAAAAAATGTTGTAAATAGTTTCAATATAATGCATTGATTCATCCTTCTAAAAATCTCTGTATAATACTGAATGTGTGTGGTTGTAGAGCTTCATTTCTATATAGATGCTGAGGTAAAATTCGTGCGTCAGGTGGGGGCGTGCGTCAGGTGATCAAGTACGGTAGATGATTAAGCGAGCGGTGAGAGGAATTTTTTTTTGTTGCGGAGTGGCGGCTATGGCCCGCCGTACCCCAAGAATGGGTGAAGGGTTTGATTTACAACTCGAAGTTAAAGCCTATTTTCGCTGTAAGAGTTAAGTCAGAGCTGGTTTTGTTAGTATTATTAACTTCGAGAGGTTTAGAAAAATAGTTGTGAAATCATAATTCACACCGCTGCTTCGCAGGGTGTGGCTGTTTTCCTTGCCCTAACTACTTGGAATTCACTGGTATCTCCCATTTACTTCACATAAACTTCCGTACTCGTACTTCACAGGTAGTTATTCAATATTCAAGGAACTGCCCACATTCCCTTGAGGGCATTAGGTCTACCCTATTCTCTCTTGTCCAAATATTTACTTACTCCTTCCTCTACACTGGTGACGAGACCCACAGTCCTTTCTTCTCTCCCTACCCCTACCAGCTCTACGCGTTCGCTACTCGGGATATCCCGAAATCAACCCAAAAATGTCTCAACCACGATGCGCAACTCGAGCAGAGGGTCAACACGCAACCGCGATGATTGTGAAACGCTGGAAAGCGCAGTGGAAGTGACAAACACGGTAGGCAGACAAAGGGAAGTTCCCCTCAAAAGCCATCACCTTGATCAAGATGCGTGAAGTCTACAGGGGGTTTGGTGTTGAGGTTCCAGGATGAACGCGCGCTCCCTGATCATCTCAGTAAGTTGCTACAAGCTTAATCTACTCGTATGAAGCTTTGCAGCTAATATTACTAGATCCTCTGTTGGCCGATTACGCCCTGGCTCGGAGAGGCTCGCCGAGCAACGAGCCGAAGGCCAAGAGCATAACCGCGGTTCTCTATACGACGCTCGCAAGTAGAAAAAGAGCTGATCTCAATCGAACCAAGTCTTGGTCTTGTTTCGAATCTTTGACCCGTTACGACTGCGTCCAATTTCAGCATGAGACCCAATTGAAGCTCCCTTGGTTCTACAAAAAGGGCCGTGTTACCCTGACGGGCAAGGCCGATTACTCCCTATGGTACGGAGATTACGAGGACCAGGAGGCGAACCTGCTCATAGTTGAAGCGAAGAGAGAGGGCGTAGACGGCTTCTATCAAGTTCTGGCCTATATGGGTAAGCCATTCTCTTAAAGTACAATAGCATGATTTTGCTAACATCATTAGCCATGATTCACCATGCTCGCAAGAAAGCCGGCCGCAGAGATACCACGGTGTGGGGGATCTCAACCAACGGGGACAAGTGGGAGTTTGTGCGCCTCGATGCGGATTCTACAGTAACACCCCCACAAAGCATGCACTGGTACCCAAAATACTAATGATTTAAGGTCAAATCTGTGATGTATGCCTTCCACAATCAGCAGGGCCCGGATATCATCGGAATGCTGTATCTAATTATTAATCACGCTGCGGGACTCGCCCCGTCCACCTCCAGGACCTCCTCAATGGCGCGCAAGCGCACCCTAGAGGAGGCCTGTGGCATCGAAATAACCCCGTGTTGATCCCGCCGGTCGTTGGCTGTGTGCGTTGGCCGTGTGCCTCCCGCCTTCTCTCTTCTTCTTTTTTCTTTTTTATTTGCTTCTTTTGGCATGGGCCAGGGATTCTTTTTTTTTCTTTTTTTCTTCTCTCTTGCGATGACACTGCGGTATTCGGAGTTTACGTGGTTTTGTGCTTCTTTTTCTCCTGTCTGTAACCATCCGCTGGCCACCAAAGATCCCAGAGATCAATATCGACTTTCATAAAGCAAGGCTATTGCCTGCAACAAATCCCTTCCTCCGTCCTCTTCAAGTAATCTAGCAACCGTTGCACCCAATTCTTCCGCATCTTCGTCAGTACCTACGTCAGCGGACGATGAAGCCGACACCTGTTTAGTGCCATGAGGATGGATTATCATGCCCTCTAGTTTCAGTCGAGGGCTTGCGGCGCTGTCTGGCGTGCCTGGAGTGCAGTAAACAGCCACCGGGGACGAACATCCGCCCTGCAGAGTGCGCAAGAGAGATCGCTCGGCCAGGCAGATCTTGCGGACGAGACGATCTTCAATCGGTCGGATCATAGAGAGGGTCTGGGCGTCATCTTCGCGGATCTCGATTCCCAATGCGCCCTGACCAACTGCGTAGGGGAATTCAGACGGCGAGAGACGTTTCGTTATGCGGTGTGCCATGTCAATGCGGACAAGACCGGCCGTGGCGACAATAATGGCTGAGAAAGGGCCATTCGGGTCGTCGAGTTTGCGCAGACGAGTGTCACTGATACAGTCAATAACCTGTGTTAAGATAACCAGAAACTGACAGTGCTTACAGGTTCCCACGACATTCCTGCACCACCAGATGCGGAAACTTCAACGCCAACAACGCCTTCCGTCTCGTCGAACTCGTACCCACCACCGAACCCGCCGGCAACTGCGCCAGATCCGTATACTGTTCACGCAACGACTCCTTCACAACAAACGCATCGCTCGGATCCTGCCGATGCACAATAGCTCCCAGCACACAACCCGCAGGCAGCCGAGTCGGCATATCCTTGAGACAGTTGACCAGCAAATCTAGCTCTCCGGCCTTGAGCTTCGCCTCCATCTCCTCCGTCCAAATGTTCTTAGCCGCGTCGGACGGGCCCCCGAATTTCAGGAACGGGCTGGTCTTGTCCACATCGCCGCTCACGGATACCGTGCGCCATGGGAACTGGAACCCGGGGTTCCGCTGCGCCAAGTCATGCGAGACACGCTCGGCTTGCACGAGCGCTAGCTTGGAGTTCCGTGTGCCGATCACCAGTTCTTGGCTGGGGGTGGATGTGCTAGTGGCCATGGTTCTATTGAATACTTGGAATCAGATGTCGGGCCAGAAGACTGAATTTTTCTCAACGGCGCGATTCGAGGGGTCATGTTAGTCTCTCATCTTAGTGTCAAATGTGTCAGATTCAATCATTTGCTCTGCGAAACTAATCTGTTTCGAGTCTAGTCTGAACTAGCGCATCGAGGGGTTTAATTTGGGGGCCAAATCGAGTATCGCGAAATGCATATCCGTGGCACTTTACTTTTTTATCCCTTTGCTGTCTCCGATGAGAGGAATAACGGTAGGTCCTTTCTGCACCTGTATCTTTGAAATATCTGGGTCGCTGCTAGCATTAAGTCAAGATTTTAATTCCAATGTTGTACTTTCAAAGCCGTACATCACCCATATTCTAATTGAGATTCAATATATTTGGGCTATGGCCTCTCACTCGGCCTATTCGTTCAGCCTTACACCAAATGGAAGGGGGATAGGGCTCGGTAAGGCTCGTGATCAAGAATTGTACCCTCCGTCGGAGACGATGTGCCCACATGCTTTTTGCCTCAGGCATCATTCAATTAAAGGATTAGTCATGGGGCTGTCTCGGTGTGGTCACCCCAGCAACGCCTGCCTGTAAGGCACCAAAGGTTATCTGTCGACGCTGGGCCTCGTACAGACGAGCGTAGACGAGTTTTTAACAAGTTTCCCGTAGTTGTATTTCTCATAATTTTCTTGACAGTTTTCAGCTTCCTTATAAACAACGCGAAGCTCTTTCTCCCATGAGACAAATCTTGGCAAGTTGCACAATATATTTTCTGCGCACTCCCCTCCCAAAATGGCAGTATACACCTCCGTGCCTATCCTCAACGAACTCGTTAAATCAGTCGAGCTGGACCCTACCGACGAAAATGCCGTCAAGGCCTTATCCTCTGGGCTGCTGAATTACTACTTCCCGGCAGCGAAAGGTTACTTAGTTGCACCCGAGAAATCTGGACACGCCAAATCTAGCGACATTATGATCCTCCGGGTCCAAAGCCTAGCTCCCCAAACCCAAGGTTTTATCGACCGCACAGTTTCCGGGGCGAGATGTGGAGGTCATCACTTAAGGCAGATCTTACAGCAACTTGATGATGCTCTTGAGCATGCAAATATTGAATCTGGGAGGTGCTGGGTAGTTTTGTTCCATGGGTTTATGTTGCATTTCTATGAATATAATCGAGGTCTCCCTCGTTATACAGGACGTGTTCCGTGGGGGCCGCCTGATGAAGAACAGCGGATAGCCTTTGGGGTACGCGGTGACGATGTTGTGATTGATCGGATGTTCAGACATATGGCGCAAAATGAGATTCCACCCGCGCGTTACTGACGTATGTAACGGGGTTCCAATGAATGACTCGATGGTACGTATGAGAAAGCCCCGAAATATGTTTAAACTGGAAATTTTCAATGCTAGATCGATTATGGACCTTGAATGGTGTAGGGGCCGGATGACTCTACCGCCGCTCGTAGTCAGGTAATGCCCAATTAACCATCCACTCGGACTGCAGCACATCTTCTGCCGTCGGTCGCTCTTCCGGTCGAAATGACAGCATTGTGCGCATAAGATCCAGGAACGCGGCTTTTTCATCCGCCATGATTCCCCCTCCGACCTTTGGTCTCCATTTTTGTACACAGACCTCGAAAGACTCCTCGAGGGGCGGCCATTGGTTCTCCTTGTACGATTCAGTGGGACAGCCGCGCTCATCAAAAAACACGGACCGCCCTTCCCAGCGATTCCACCAGTCGGAAGGCATACGTCCAAGCACATCCACATGCTGAGCTACTATCTCATCATGAGGCACATACTCCGTGCTGAAGATAGCTTTCATCCCGATTATTTCCCAGGTTGCCGTGGCTAGACTCCATATATCTGAACCGTACGTCAGCGGGGCATCAGGTTCGAATTTCGCTTCCGGAGCCCGAAAGTCGGGTGGCGTGCGGCAGTCTTGTCCCAGACGAATCTCCGTCCCAGGGGAGAAGGCCTCCCCGAAATCACCTAACAAGGGCTGGGCGTCCGATAGTACAAACTTCTCGGCATATTTGCCCAGGAACAGCGGCACAACGGCCCTAGTCGGCACGTTCGGAGGTAGTGGTTCGCCATCACATCGTGAGACGGGAACCGTTTCGGGGTCACCATACGTTTTGTACAATTGTTCAATAGACATATCGTCAAATGTCCCAGGCAGCTTGACCAAAACGTTGCTCAAATGTACATCTAGGTAGGTCAAGTCAAGTCGTATACAAGATCGGGGCTGATGTGACAAACCTCCATGGACGTAGCCCTGAGAGTGGGTATAGGCCACAGCCTGCGCAACACCATATGCCAAGGCACGAGCAACATTGAAGGGGAACAGACGGCTGAAGGAGATTTCCCTGAGATTACATTGTGCAGGGGTCATTGTGTAACAATTATGTGTCCCATTCGGACCCTGTACGAGGAATTCATCGCGCAAACTTGACACTAACTCACGCCCAGGATGTGTCTGCGAGGGCACTGAGGCGGATAGCGCCTTGAGATGTTCCGTCTCACGCGGCTGTGAGTCTGAGATATTGATCTTGAGCGCGACGTATTCGTTGAGTTGAGTGTCACGAGCAAGCCATACAGTCGAGTAGCCCCCGGAGCCGAGTTTGTCGGCAATCCGATATCGATTATGGAGTAGGTCCCCGATCATAACCGGGTGATAACCCCCAGGTTGGTATTTCTCGAGCGTCTCCACCCCGTCGATCCAATTATACTCAATGCGATCGTTCCGGGTCATTGTGGACCCTAGCCGCAGGGAGGACCGCATTTTAATGTTCCGAGGGCGCCAAAGGGATTGGAAAGCCCGAATTGACGGTCGAGTCATTATTGATGATGATTTGTGACCAAAGGAGGCTGCGGAATTTCAAAGCAAGTGTACCATGATATGTCGAGTGGTTGTTGATCAGGATGCGCGTCTCCTGACGGGGCAGGCTAAATGCAGCTACTCACGTGATATTGATCGGCTTGGCGCTGGAGTATGCTTTGCAGTCTACTTTTCCAAATTACCAAGTATTGCTTTACTCTGCTTTTCTCGTTCTTGAATTTCAGAATATCTCAAATCCCTAGAGGGCATGGTTTGTCGTGGCTTGGTTATTGAAGGGCTATTTTCTGCTGCTTTGCCCACCACTGCGGTCTTTACGAGGGATATATTTATCCGATGCAAGGAATGAACGAATGGTAGTAAAAATAGTAACCCATGAACAATCGATTCACCAGACTATGTCGACTAAGTACAAGCTTGAAGAAGCTGATCAGCTGTCGATTGTTGAAAATTGACAGATGTCAAAAACTGGCCCAGTATCAGCCCCTTCAAAATAGACCAGCGGGTTGAACCGCATCAAAATCCAGTAACCCCCTAAATCCACTGTTTGTTTCCGAAGTGAGAGGTAAAGGATCCGCCGTATCCCCGCTTGACACTAGCATTGTTGATCACAGACAGAACGTCCTTAACGGATTCTTCGGGGGTAATGGGACCCTCGAAATTAGGTGCGTAAGCTTGGAAGGATGTGAGCATTCTCGCCAGCGCTAGCTTTTGCTCTTCGGTTCCTGTGAACTGTTAGCGCTGCAAAATGCCGAAGTATATAGTGGTAGAAACATACCCTGAGAGAGATGTCCCGTGTCCACCATCCCGGGGCAAATACTCATGAACAACACCCCATCCTTCGCATACTGCGCGCTGAACTTGGCCACTGCCGCATTCAGACCTACCTTGCTGATCGTGTACGGGGCGACTAGATCAATGTTGTGCTTTGCGACAAGGTCCAGGTCGGCATGGCCGCTGGATATAGCGATGACCTTTTTGGCATCGCCCTTGAGAATCAGAGGGGTGAATAGATTGAAGAGGTGGATGTTGCCGACGACGTTGGTTTTGAAGTAATCTAGCAGATTTTCTTCAAGTGCTTCGGGCTGCTGGCCTCTGTTTTGAGGTACGGTTATTGTTTGTCGGGGTACATCACTGAGTGAGAGAGGGTTCTTACAAAACTCCGATGGGGTCGTAACTGTCAAACTGTGACATGAGGCCTCCATTAGCGATCAAATAGTCCAGTCCTCCGCCAGTGATTCTAGCCGTGTCTTGAGAAGCAGCCTAATGACTTATGTTAGCTCGTGCACATGGTATCAATTTAGGATTTCAAGGTGATATCTCACCTGCAGCGACGAATAGTCGACAAGGTCTCCCTTCAAGATATGGAGATTGGATCTGCCGGACAGGTCTTTGGATACTCTTTTCTCAGTAGCGGCTTGGTCCCTAACAAGGCCGATAACGACATTGTTTGGGTCGCTGGAGAGCTGGCGAATAAATTCCCACTGCATGGCTGGTTAACTGGGCTGATTATGGAACACGATCGGAAGAACGGGGCTAACTGACACCAATGCCTCTTGAGGCTCCCGTAATCACATAGGATGGCATCTTGAAAATTGGTGCTAAGTTTCTTCGAGAACCGGGTGGCGAAAGACGATGCTCTTGAGAGAATGAGTTGAATTGTTGCTGTTGTTGTAGGAACTCGAGGTACCAGGCGTGCAAGGAATTGATTAGGTTCTTGATGATGTAGATAAAGCAAGTATCAGGGTTCAAGAACAGTCTTTTAATCTTGAATTCTAGGTGATTTTGGTCGATTTAATGGAGTCTTCCTCTTGTATAGAGATCTCTGCGGAACTTGCCCTTTGCGAAGGTATGCCGGATCTCGATCGCACCCTTTTATAGATCTTCAGAAGGCGGTTCAATGATCGCGACGATGCCCGTGGAACATGATCGATTCAATAGCTGACAGATCAAACTGATTTCAAATCCACGATATCATCATGAGGCCTCTCAGTCAACGAATTTGTATAGTTTCGCGAATACTTGACACTTTTCTCGCCGGCCCACTGGACCTGCAGCTGCCAAGGCCCTAGTCCACATGTCTATTGGGCCGGATATTGCAGCAGTGGGTCACTCTAACCCCGGCTGATGCCAAGCCTTAGGTTCTGGACATCCGACATCGCGTATTATTAATCCTGCTGGACAAGGCTGCAATTCCTTCACGAGAAGCCATCAGTCTGGTCAACTATCCCCCTAAACCCCATTCAAGGTGAAATACCTTGTATGTTAGAAAAGGAAAAAATGCCGCAGAGGGGTTGTGGAACGTGTCGGGGTAATGTCAGCTCCATTGAGCTTGGTACACACCGCTAATGACCGATTCTAGATCGTCGAATCCTCTGTGATAGAGCCATTCCAACATGTGTCCAGTGTTCCAAGTCCGGTCGGACTTGCAAGGGTTACGGCCTTCGTGTCTCTTGGCCGAATATGAATGATCGCAAGCGCGCAATGGTTGGAAAGCCATCGCGGACTAGGACGATATCGCGTCGTATCTCCGACTCCTTGCTAATTAATGCGTCGTCGTGGGACATTGAGATGCATTATTATCTAATGGGTCTAGCTTCAGGAAGTACGTGACATGATATGAATCTTCCCTGCAAAGAAAGGGTTGACACTTGGTAGAATACAATAATCTGGTGCTACAAGCACCCATGCCATTCAACCCATTCAAGTTACATGTCAAAGATATCTATCTGTTCGACTATTGTTAGTTTTCCCTGCACCCTGCTCAGAAAGAGCAAAGTACTGATGAATTCACAAGTTCAATCGACGGCCTCCGGTTCCTTGACCACCTTCGGTCATGACCCCACAAGCATGGGAAGCCTTCTAATTCGAATGGCCTTGACAAACAGCAGCCCTTCCTCCACTGCAGTGCTCCACTCCTTACTTGCACTATCATCACTACATCTCTATGGCTTGCAGAGCCAGGCTGGTGAGCTCAAACTGTCTGCACTCAGAGCGCTCGCCGCTGCATCGAGGACTAGTATTGGTCCCGTGGAGGCAGCCCAGCATATTGCTGCAGGAATGCTTCTATGCTCGTTCGAGGTAAGCCTCTCCTAGCATCTTACTCATCACAATGGAGTGTTCTGATATTTCCTTCACAGCTACACCGAGCATCATGCACTTCAGGCCAGTGGAGATGTTATGTCGGCGGCGCTAAAAAGATCCTCAATGTATTCCCTTCGGGTGTATCAGACCGAGATGGTGACTTCAGTATCTTGCTGGACTGGGTATACTATCATGATGTTCTGTCGCGTTTCAGCGAGCTGCATTGGCGCTCTGAAAAGGATATAGCCATTGCACCTGCTTGCTCGTCGAAGTATCCTTGGAACGCAGTATGCAATGCCCTAAGAAGCGGGAGAGTTTCTTTCTAACATTTGGTAGGCTATACCGTCCACGGTCTTCAATTTCGATACAACAGTTCAGCTGCTGTCAAACCTCTGCGACGCCGTGGCTGCTAGACCACCACCGACGGCCCCGGCCGAACAACTGGGCCACTATATTGCAAATGTTCAAATTCTAGCATGCAGGATCAAAAACATCCCCATGTCAATGCCCGGAGACGAATCCATCATTAGCCCGAAATGTGCGACAATGACCGAATTGTTCCAACTATCTATGCTCGTGTATCTCAACAGAGCAACCGGATGTCTTCTTGAGCCATCACACATGACAGAGCACCGCATCCATCAGGGTCTTGCCAGCCTCTCCCAGCTTGATACCTGCGAACGCCAGTTTCCTTTACTCGTGCTTGGCTGCGAAGCGCGTACCGATGAAGAACGGATCAGAATACTCGACCTCATTGATAGGACTGAGGGATCAACGTCATCAAGGTCTCTTTTCCTGGTCAAGACATTGATCAAGTCCATCTGGGTCCAGGATGACCTTGCGGGCGGGCAATTGGATTATATGGAGAAGCTAAGTTCATTGATTAGTTGCTGCAATATAATGCCCACCTTTGTGTAGATTGATGTGGCTCTTCCAAATTCTTGCGTTACCATGGTTCGTTTACGGGAGATCGGCCAGAACCTCTGAGAAAGTCTATTGCAGTACATGTTCTATTTCGATCATGGTCAGTGTGGCGCGAATCGGACCACGCCGGATACTATGCTCAGTTGATGCTAGCAGTGGAGTTTTCTATCTTCCAAATTTCAGATTTCCATAAACTCTGTTAGTAGTGGACGCAAACGGATCAACTATTCTAACCATGCGATATCCTTCCAAGGATTGCCTCATGTGGTAATGTCAACTGATGCGCCATCTGCAAGAGGAAATTACATTATTGTCTCTTAACCATGGCTTCCGTTACCTACTCTCGCCACAATTGATTGTTATACCATGACAACAATACCACTGGGAATATAATTGTGTGATATTTTATTTCCGCAAGCGGACAAAATGTCGAAATAAAGTTTGACAGATGCTCAACGGATAAAGAGCCGAACAATGAACCAGACCCACATTTAGAGCCCTACCGAGTGTTGATGAATCTTGACATCAGTCATTTGGATCTCCTCGGAGGATATTGGACTCTACCGTCGTTCCACAGTCATGTTTGTATGAGTGAAATAACCCAGGCGCAGGCCAGGTGGAATATAAATACACCTGTTCCCCCTCGTCTTGCCGGCACTATATCTGCAATCCAAATCATCCTCAGTCTTCATAATAAGCTACCTTCTAAAAAAGCCTTAATCACATCTACCATATCACATCTACCATGTCCGACGACGCATATCACAACGAGCTCATCGGCGGCGTCGGTGGCACCCCATGGGGCAACAAGCTCTCTAACAACAACCAAAAAGTACGCACTATTTCCGCATGGTGGGGCCAGGAAGATGGCGCCGACTTCATTGTGCTCAAGGGTCTTGAGCTGGGCTGGGACGATAATACCACCCGTCGTGTGGGCCACCAAGAACCCTATCTTGAACATGATCAATTCCGATTCAATGACGGCGAAAATATCGATCAGATGATCATTCACGGCGCGAAAAATGATCCTCCCGGACGAGCGGACGCTCTTGAGTTCCATACCACGCAGGACAGACATTTCTTTGCTGGTGGCCCGGGCGGATTTCCGGGCTCGCAGGTCATTGGGACGGGCGTAGTCTATGGGTTTGATGGAGCGGCAGATGCGGATATTGATAGTTTGGGGGCTATTGTTCAGGAGGAATAAACAGTTGAATGTGGGAATGTGTAATCTGGCATCTGTTGGTAACCGCTCCATAGGTTTATTCTAATGACATGAAATTTACGTAGCATGTAGGTGGTGCTGTAGGACAAAACAGAGACCAGGCTACAATTGTTCGATGTACTTATATGATGAAACTTTTACTTATATTTCTCAACGTAAATTAACATTATCATCGCACTTCATCCTCACCAGCCAACTTGGTAATTTTGATAGAGGAGTGAATGTATCTCAGTCATAGTGACAGTGACGTATTGGTGCCATCACAAGATGTCTCGAAATGATTCACTTGGTGGCTGCTTCCCAATTCACCCAAACAATTCCAGCAAGCCGTGACTCCGCCTGTCCCGGAATGAAGCCCCCCCAGTAAACATTCTCTCAGTATACCATCTCAATCTGAAGACCTCCGAGCGCAAACAAAACCCCCAATGACGACAGCCACCAGAGGTATCGACATTCAAGAAGCTTCAAGCACATCGAGCCCGATGGCCGCAGTCGCGGTGGTGGCAAGCCCTCCCTCCATGTCCGAATCCTTCCCTTGACTTCCGTTATCAGGTCCAAACTAACATATGATGGCGCGTTTCCTTAGAATATTTCGAAAGGCTAGAAGCCGAGCTCGACAAGATCATCGAAGACCGCAAGAAAAGGCACCAGGAGCATGGCCTTCGAAAGGGCTCGACAAGCCCTCAAAAGGGACAGCGACCTGCGGGTTTAGGCCCATGCAAGAAGATGATCCTGGATTTTGGCCGGTCATTCTAGATGACCAGATCGTCGTCCCCACCACTCTTAGTAATTGCTATCCTTCCATATTGACAGTTATATTGAAGCTCGCTAATACAGATAGCTGGCTATATGAACGATATCGACAAGTTTCTAAAAAATGCAACAAAGAAAGAGGCCGCGGTTAGAATCCGCATCAATGCGGTTCTCTTTGCGGCTCTCCGGATAATCGATTCCGAAAATGTTAATCTACAAGTAGAATGTAGTTGGCGAAGCAGCCATCAAAGGATGGCTCAAATCAAGTTCTCACATATATGGGTATGATATCTCCTACCCTTCTCCATGAGCTGTTGGCTTACTAGGGCTTTTAGCAATGGTTCATTATCTTAGAGCAAGGGCTGGTCGCAGCCCCAGGACAATCTGGGGCATTTCCTCAAATGCGAGGAAATGGGAGTTCCTCCGCCTTAGGGCGGACGGAAAGGTACGACAACTACGTATTTCGCTGCAAAGTACATTAGCCAACAAGACCAGTTCTCCGCCGTTACTTTCTACGCGGACCAGAACCTTCGGAAGATCGTCCAGACCCTATGCTTCATCATAGGGGAAGTTGGGGTGCTTACCCCAACAAACACGCATATCGACCAATAGAACACAAGGGGGGTACGGTTCTGTATTTTATTTTTCATTGTTTAGATACGTGCTCCCCCAAAGAGCACGAAAATTAATCGAAGATCGATCCTTTGAAAATGATGTCATACATCCTACAGAAAACTCCCGGGCGGAACAGAGTGGAGGATTCAGTACACATCGTCTATAATGCATTGTAGGGATATGATATAGCAACACGAGGTTGTTATTTTTCACAAGCAGCATATATACCTCAGTGTTTCAACATACGTTCGTCATCAGATTAATCTAATCTCCAGTGACTGATTGATCCAAACGCTCTCTCCACGTACATATCTATCAAGATCACAATACTAAAAACAACAACTTAGACCTCGGCATGGAACTTCCACGGGTAGGCATTTTGGTTCCAGACCCGTGGAACAGGTAGATGAGTCCTACCCATTACCCATGACCCTCCTACCCATTATTCACCATGAATACCCAGCGAAATACCTGTGAACTACTCAAAAATGCATAATTAATCCTTTTTGAATGTGTCAAACCGCATAAAATTGCTTATTTTTCTGATTAAAATATTGATTTAATATCTGTTTTAATCATCCTTCAATGCATGATACAATATAATTATAATATTTACATAAATTAAATATCGAAGTTCGAAAACATTATCAAAAGCTTTAATAATAATGAAATGTGTTTATTTTTAATCAATTATATATTAAAATAAAAATAATTTTAGATGATATTATGAAAAATGTCTTGTCAAATATTTAAAATATATTTTGATATTTAAAAAAAATAAATGTATTTTTTTATAAAAACTATCTTTATCTCTTTATATAGTTTTATATTAATTAATTATATTAAAACATTGATAAATTGAATTATATATTTTATTTTTATTTTTAAATTGTTTTTTATTAATCTTATATGCCTATAATATACGTGAAAGAAATTTAAACTATTAGATTTCGTCAAAAATTGATGAAATTAAAGCATAAAAAAATTGTTAAAATAAAATAAATATTTTATAAATTACTTGCAAGATATTTATCTATCTGCAAATAATTCACAGAATATTCACAAATAATCTGTAAAATTTATTAATTAAAATAATTTATCATTAATATAATAAATCATTTATTCGTATATTATTATAATTCAAAATATTTAGAATTTCCAAATCTAAAATTATTAATCGCAAAATTTATTGCAATAAATATTTGTTTTATTATGTGATTCTATATTATCAATTTGATTTCATTTTTTTTATTATAATATTTTAATCTTTTTAATTTTTTAACACATACATATCATTTTTATATAATGCTGACAATCCAAATAATCTTTAAATTATTTAATCAAATAATCTCATTTCCAATCTTTTATTGAATCAACAAACATCACAATCAATTATTAACTTGAATTTTATTTATTTATCTATTCTCATCTTTATATTTCTCTTTTTCAAATATATCTATTCTAATCAAATTTTAACATATCTTGTTTATTCCGATATAACAAAAAATGATTTTGTGAATTAATGATTTCAAATTAACTTGAGATAAAAAAAATAAATATATTGAAATATTTAATAGCAATTTGATATTTGAAAACATTTTAATAAAATAATTAAAATCAACAATGAAACATCGAAAATTATATGTAAATAATGTAAAAAAATGTTTAATTATTTATAATAATATGAAAATGACATTACAATAATGATTAAACATTTAAAAAAAAATTCAATATTATAATTAAAATAGATCTAATATTAGATAATTTCTTTAAAAGATAATATTCTTCTATGTTATTAAAAATCATTTAATTAATAATTTAATATCTTTTTTTTTATTAAATTATATTTTCTTTAAATAGTCTTAATTTCATTCAAAAGATCTGAAAAACAAATTTATTTTATTTTATCACTAATTCTTAACTATCATTCCAAATCTTTGAATATTTCAACTTTCATCATTTAATTTATATGATCTTTCGTGTCTCAAAATGTCCACAAATCTCATTTTCAAAAATAATTTGATATCGACTTCAAAATATTATTATTGAACATCAAAATAGTCTTTTCTAGAAATTATTAAAAAATAAAAAATTATTAATAATCTTAAATTGTTAAACATCTCTCTTTTAACAAGCGTTTATGACAATTATTAATTACTTTTTCGACGAAGACTGAAATTATTGAAAAATATTTTTTAATTTTGAACTGTTATATAAAATATATTCAAAAATTAATTTTAATATCATTTTTTTTGAATTACTTCAAAAACATCAAATCACAAATATAATATTTGCAATTATTATTAATAATGCATCAAATAATAATATTATGTTATTGAATATTCAAGATTTTATTCAATTTTTTAAAATTGATAATCGTATTACAATTATCAAAATCTTTTGTTTCGTTCACGTTATTCAATTCAATTTTAAATAGCTTCTTGAACAAATAAAAACAAATCTGAAAAATAACATAATTAAAATGCAATGATTTGAAACACAAAATCAATTAATTTATTCAAAACAACAAAAATAAAAAATTATTAATATATTTAATAAAATCAGTTTATAGCTTTAATATAATAAAAATTTATTCACTTATTCAATTATATATAGATACAAAACTTAGCTATTTTTATCAATGCGAATTTTCAATATCTAAAATTATTCTGCAAGCTTCAAACTACATCAATATTTTTTGTATTAATTCAAAACATTAAAATATGTTAAAATTCAACCTTTTTATATTTTGACATGTGAAACATTTACAATGTATATTTAATAAATTTTATATTAAATATGAACATTCACATTTAAAATTTGATTAAGAATAATGACGTCAGATTGACTATCTTTTTTATATTATTTATTTAATTTTTTTTAATTTATGAATGCGCTTTTAAAGACAAAAGATGTTATAATATATTTTATTTTTAATATCTATAACAAGTTTTTTGGTTATTTTGAAAAATCTATTAATCAATTTAAATATAAAAAGATAATTTAAAAAATGATATTAAATGCGCTTCATGCAGCGAAAACAAAAATTTTTTAATATTATAACAAAATAAATAATATTTTCAACAATTTTTTTATTATTAAAACAATGCTTGCGTCGCAAAACAAGTTTGAATTCTTTTTAAAAAAAGATTGAAACAATAAATGACGTAATTAATATTGTTAAAATTTTATGAATTATTTTAAGTCTTATAAACAACATTTATTATAAAATTAAATATTATTAGAAATTCATATATTTATGACACGAATTTCAAAATTTGATCTTAAATGAATATTTAAAAGATTTGAATTTCAACAAACAAATTTAATTGAACAAAACAAACTTATGAAATATTTTGATTCTGATTAATATTATTTTAATTATTTATATGCTTTATTAATAAATATTTAGATATTATTAACGAAATAATTATTCGAATATTTTAAAAAAATTATTAACGTAAATTTTTTACACTCGCAAGTCTTGCACGTGATATTTTTTACAATTTTTATTATAGATGCAAATGTTAAATGTTTTTTTAATCTCGTTTAAAATATTTGTCACTATCATTGAGATTTATTAAAATTTAAAATAATTTAAAAATTTATAATAT